TTGTTTTGTCTCTGGGCCTGACTCGTTGACCAAGCCACTTGCTCATGAGTCATTGTGGCTAAACATGGGCTGTTCTCTACTTGAGGTAGAAAACTGGTCCCCCTGCCTGAAGGTCCCCTGTTGGGAGGATTTTCCTTCACTGTCTTTCACAGTCACTCTGGAGTGATAGCTTCATGTGTCTCAGTAAGCATATTTACTAGCAAGAAGCAATTCACTTGTAAACAGGAAACATGGTACAGCTGTGTGGGCCCAAACAAGGCAAATGCTTGTGATCCTTTTTCCTCCTCTCCCCCTCTCTCCCTCCCTCCCCCTCCTTCCTTTCTAGCCCTTCTTTCCTTTTGCCCCAGCTGGCATTGAACTTTGATCTCTACCTCCCAAGTACCTGGGTTACATGCATGGCTACCACACCTGGCTGGATTTTTGCTGTATTGAAAAATGTATATATTTTCATTTTTAGCATTTTTATTAGCAGTATTAGTTTTAGGGGTTTCACTGTGACATCCATATATGCTTACAATTTCCTCAGTTTGGTTCATCCCCCTCTATATTTTCATTTTTAAAGGAATAGAACCTATTACAGAAATTTTGAATAAATGAACCAAAATATTCTCACCACTGTAATGCAATCAGGTAAACTTTAGTACATTTCCTTCTAGTCTATTTCAGCTTTATAATAGAACATGCTGTATGTTGTTTCCTTTAATTTAGGCCTTAGCATTGAATTTCATTATTTTGCGCTATCAGTGCTTTTAAGCTGTTAGCCTATTTTTAGTTTGGTAGATTTCTCCTCACAGTTAGGAAGTGGAATACTTTTGTATAATCTAATAGAATTTACAACATTGAGTCAGTTTGGTGATTTTTTGCTTTTCTTTTGGTGGTACTGGGATTTGAACTCAGGGCCAGCCACTTGTCAGCTTGATCCAGTCCACAAGTTCCTTTTCGGGTTATTGTTGTTGCTTGAATTTTTAAAGAAGTGATGATTTAATGAGCATCAAGAATATCAATGAAGCCAGGCACTGGTGGCTCACGCCTGTCATCCTAGCTACTTGGAAGTCTGAGATCTGGAGCAGTTTGAGGCCAGTCCAGGCAAATAGTCTGAGCAATCCCATCTGCAAAATAACCAGAGCAAAATGAATTGGAGGTGTGGCTCAAGTGGTAGGGCACCAGCTTTGCAATTGAGAAGGCCTGAGTTCAAACTCCAGTCTCACCAACAAAACTAAAAAGTATGTCAATGGACTAAGTTTTTCGTACAGCTGCCATTAAATCTAGCAGATGTAGAGCGTGTGGGAGTGGTAGGCTTACATTAATTTACCGACTCTTCAAACCAAGGGCTCAGTTATGTAGGACTTAGTAAAGCCTCACAGAACCCGAGTGAGGCAGCACTTTTCTGTCTGGAAACAGGCCATAGGCTGGCAGGTTAATGCACATGTTAGACGCTGATGATAGAAAATAGGCTCCTTTATTTGGAGCCCCAAATACAACCCAGCATTTTCAGTGTGCACGGGGCTGTTCTTGGAGGATGGATCTTGATTTTCCTCAGATGGTCAAAGCGATCCATCCAGTAACCCAGGGCGTAAACAAACACAAGTTTAGTTAATTCAATGGAACACAATTTTTGTGAGTTTGTTGTTTTTGTTATTCCTTCCCTACCTCCCACCCCCTCGTAGATTATATTCAATAGTAGAATTCAGAAAAATAGACTTGGGGTGAGCAGTGCTTTATCACGTGCATATTCACAGTGACTTTTAAACAAATGTAAAGTTGAACACATCTGAAATGTTCATTGTAAATACTGCATCGATCTATGGTGACTTTGGAAGTTTTCCCATTCGAATAAATAATGCAGTGATACATTTCTTTCTTAAAATGTTTTTTAAAATGTTGACCATAAGCTGAGTGAGCTAGCTCACACCTGTAATCCTGGCCACTCAGGAGGCAGTGATCAGGAGGATCATAGTTCAGGGCAGGTCTGGGCCAAGCGTTTTTGAGACCCATCTCAACCAGTGATAGGCACACACCTGTCATCCCAGCTATGCAGGAAGCCTAAACAGGAGGATCGTGATCCAGCCTGGCCCCTGCATAAATGTGAGACCCTATTAAAAAGACAACTAAAGTAAAAAGGGCCGAGGGCATGGACCAAATGGTAGAGCCCCTGCCTTGCAAGCTGAAGACCCCAAATTCAAACCCAAGTGCCAAAAAAAAAAAAAAGAGTAAGACCAAGAAGCTGATAATTAGATACATTTCTACTAATTGAAATTATGAATTGAATATGAAAATATCCATAAAATAGTTATCCTTTTATTATTGGAAAAGTTGTGCATTTGCGAATTCCACTAAAGTCTAGGCTTTCTGCATTTTGTGCAGTGAAGACAAAGAGACATACTATGTAAACGATCTTTTTTTCTCTTGGCAGTACCAGGGTTTGAACTTAGGCCTCACGCTTGCTAGGCAGGCTCTTTACCACGTGAGCCACTCTGCCAGCCCTTTTTTGTGTTGGATATTTTCAAGATAGGATCTCTCAATCTATTTGCCTGGGCTGGCCTCGAACTGCAATCCTCCTTATCTCTGCCACCTGAGCAGTTCGGATTACAGGTGTGAGCCATTGGCACCCAGCTCCAATGCAAATAATCTTAAAATTATTTTTAAATGCGAAAAATTCTCTTTGCAAGACTAAACCATTAGTCACTTTTGATTACTGGATGATAGGAGCAACTTCTTCCTAGCTAACAGGCACTGTACGGTGCAGTGTCCGTCTTGTCTTGGACGAGTGACCTAGGGTTTCTTATGTTTCTTGCAGGAATGGGCTGCTTCTGGGGGGCTGAGAGGAAGTTCTGGACCTTGAGAGGAGTGTATTCCACTCAAGTGGGCTTCTCAGGAGGATACACGGTCAACCCTACTTACAAGGAAGTCTGCTCAGGTAGGAAGAATTCGCTCTGTCATATTACTGAAACAAACAAGGGAGGGCTTGTCCCTGCTGGTGGGTGACAAGAGCTTTAAAATGGATATACATTTTTAAGCTAATTTCCTCAGTTTTTTTTTAAACAATTTCTATAAATACACCTGTTTGTCTCTCACTTTATATTTTTAGAAGAAAATGAACTTCCGGTGGAAGGTATTGTTTAGCTTTGGTTGGGGAACCACCACCCTAATGGTCATGTTTTTAGCTTACGCAGCATGGAAGGCTGGGCTCATCTTGGTGGTTCTTCTGCTGGTCTCACATGGACTGGTTCAGGTGGCTATAGTCACCTGGTGGGATGCCCTGGGGCCAGCTGGTCTCAGATGTCCTCCTTCCCTCATAGGTCTGGCAGTTGGCGTTAAATGGGGATGTCAGACATACTGGCTGGGGCTAATTCCCGGGGTCATGGATGAAGAACCAGGAGCAGCAAGAGAGAATGAGCCCTGTTCTCTGTACATGCCAGTTTTACTGTTGTCCCACTGGCCAAAGCAAGTGACATGGTCTAGCCCAGAGACAGTATGGGAGTACTGTCCTCTGTAGGGGTACAGGGACCCAGAGGGGTGTGAAGAGCTCAGGGCCACCACTGGCAATCTCACTGGGCCCAACATTTCATGCAGCAGGTGTGCTTTCTGGAGGGAAACTCGTGGCAAGCTGTGCTACAAGGCAGGGATCAGCCAATGACTGCCCCAGGCCAAAGCCTGCTCTTTGCCTGGTCTAAAAGTAAAGTTTTTTTGAAACACAGCCATGCCCATTTTTTGTTTTGTTTTTACATATCTTCTGTGAATATTTTTATGTCCTAACAGTGCTATATGGGTTGTAAAACCTGAAATATTTATTATCTGGCTTCTTATAGAAAGAAATGCTCTGACTGCTGTTCCAGGCAGAGGAAAGGCAAATCTTAACTCAAATACCAGATTCCTGTCTGGACTGGTTTCTGGTCTTCAAGAGTTTCCTTACTTTCCTGCCAGCTCAGATAGCATTTAAGACTTAATTCTTAACAGAGTATTTTGTTCACCATCTTAAGAGGTCTTGTTAGGGAGGGTCTACGAGACCCATAACTACATTGACACAAATGGTAGCTCAAACTATGTAAACAGTTTTGTCTTTTTAAAATAAAGACTTGAGGGCCAGGCATGGCGGTACACATCTGTAATCCCTACACTTGGAAGTTGAGGCAGGAGGATCTTGAGTTTGAGACCAGCCTGGGTTCTATAGAGAGTTCCAGTCTAGCCTGAGCCACATGGCAAGACCTTGTCTCAAAAAACTCAAAAAAGCCGGGCACCAGTGGCTCACTTCTGTAATCCTAGCTACTGAGGCAGAGATCAGGAGGATCACAGTTCAAAGCCAGCCTGGGAAAATAGTGCCTGAGACCCTATCTCAAAAAATACCCCACACGAAAGGGGATAGTATACTGCCCAAACCAAAAAAATTAAAAATTAAAAACAAGGCTTGATGGACTGGTGGAGTGGCTCAAGCAGTAAAAGCGCCTGCCTAGCAAGCATGAGGCCCTGAGTTCAAACCCCAGTGCCACACAAAAAAAAGTAACACCCCCAAAAGCAAGGTTTGAGGGGGCGTTATTTGTGCTCAGTTCTCTGACAGCATTAGGAATTCTGGGGGCGGCAGGAGGAGAATGAACAATGAGCATGTTGATTTGTTGCTATAATATGAATTCTGATTTTGAAATAAAACTTCACGGTGTAGCAGTTAAGGTGTTTAAAAAAAATCTGAGTTCTTGATTTTCTTATAGAGAAGGGCTGAAATACTCTGGTTTAGGGAGTGCAGAATATCAAATAAATACTTTAATGGTTAATACATATTTTTTGCTTCTGTTTTAAAGTGAAACAAATGCTTACGCAGAGCTCTAAACAGAGCGAGTCAGATGAACCCTGGAGCTTGCCCAGGTGTGTCCTCTTGAGTCTCAGGAGTGGAAAGGAGCCGATTCCTTCCCGTAGCTCCAGACTTGGCTTAGTGGCCTATGAGAAAAAGGTTGTCAGAAGCCCTCCAGCTGTCTGCTGCTCATACTGTCATCCTCATCCCACAAAATGGCAATAGCCAGTCAGAATATTATGATTGCAGGCTTGCCCAGACCCTTTCCCATCCTTCTTTACTTAATAAAAGCAACATGGTAATTGCCACGCGTTGACTGCAGAAGAAACACTTTCTGTCTTTGCTTTTTCCCCGAAGTCCCACAAGGCATGTCCACGTTTGTCTTTTACAGGCGTGCTGAGGCTCAGGCAGCATAAGTAACAGCCAGGGTGACATGTAGCTGGAATTCCTACCCCATGGCTCTCAGCTCAAAGCTTATGCCATTGACCGTGGTGTAGATCTCCCAAGTGCCTCTGCAGCCCAGCTCTCTTCCTGGACCATTCACACTTCCTTCCTTCAAGTCACACATTCTCTTTCAGGTCTGTCCCTCTACTACACTTTTAAATATATTGGTGTGCTTTTAAGTGACCAAGGAATTTGTTTCATCTTTCTGATGTTAAGATGGAAAGAGGACCAAACCTTTAAGATACAGTTGGTGCAGATAGCTGGTGCCAGAGGTCTATAGCAATGGGTGAAGACGGAAACCATGGGGTTGGTGAAGAACTCTGTTCCATCCCAACACTCCTGCTAACTTGGTGGTAGCCCAGGAAAGAGTGGTTGTCATGGAAACTGCTTCCTGCCTAGAAAGAGATAGTTATTGGGTCTAACCCAGACACAGAAGGAAATAATTTCTTTCTCTGGGATTTTTTTTGTTGTTATTCTGATCACAAAAGGGGAAAACAAAAAGGCAGAAAGAGACTGTGATAGGAAGGTCCATGGGGCACAGGAGTGGTAGAGGCCTCAGATCCCCAGGAAGAGTGGGAAGGGAGACAAATAAGGTCCCCAGCTAGAGGAATTATGGTAACTAATCAATGAAAGGCTTGTGACAGAAGGAAGGGGTGGGGGAGACAGAGCAGGTCACACCTGTCCAAAGCCCCTTGTCCTTCAGGCCTTGCTGTGCACATCGCCCCAGAGGGTCCAACGGGATAGAAGAACAAAGCAAACCACCCAGGCTGTGTGCGCTGGAGTTTCTTGTGAGAGAAATATGACTCTAGACCCTCCCCTTTGCATCCATCTCAGAATTCCTTACTTGTTTGAGTTAAGTTTGACAAACTTTGATCACAGTCCATGAATATTTTGTAAGGGTTTTTATTTATTGACTTTGATTTTTTTCATGAAAAGACACTAAGGGCCTGAATTGGGTACAAACTCCTTCTCTCCTGTGGTAGTACATTTGAGCTTAAGGCACTGTTTTTGGTTCTTGGGGCAGGTGCCAGAATTATAGGAAAGGCACAGGGCTCACTGGCCACTGCTCCCTCAATGTCTTGTGTGACAAGAAAAGTCAGCATTTCCGCAAGCCTTGTCTCCACAGAGATCTGTGCCACAGCTTCTGAAGGGGATGCGTGAACAAGCAAGTGTGTGTGTGTGTGTGAGTGTGAGTGTGAGTGAGTGCAAGAGCTGTGTGTCCACAGAAGATGTGTCTTCATGTCTACATGGCATTTCTAGGTGGAGGTTGAAAGCCAGAGACTTTGAAATCTGAGCCAGAGTTGTAAACAGGTGCATAGAAAAGATATGCTCCTGATAACAGTTAGGAGCTGTGACCCCAGCAGTGACACACAAGTAGAGCTGACCATGGCATCTGAGCTTATAAAAGAGATCTCCAATGGGGCGATGGCATGTCAGTCCATCTCTGTCCACTGCATGCGGCTTGAGCCTGCTGATCTAGAAGGTACGGGGTGCTGGCGGGTCTTTAAGCACTTGAAATAAGGTGGCCAATTGTGGAGAAGGACAAGAAAGACTCATACTGAAGCAGAGCGGACAGAGGCAGGTGCCTGGGAGAGAGATGGGTTCTCATGTCTGCAGCTTCAGAGGCCCTGACTGTGTAAGAGGAAATGTGGCCTTAGCAGGGGGGTGGCCGGCCAGTGAGCCCAGAGCAGGGAGATCCTGGTGGAACCCTCTTGGGTGTTCCCCTGTGGAGATTATTTACAGGAAGAAAATACATGAGACTAAATGAGTCAGGCAGGTAGTTGTAATGCTCATTTCAAATTTGACAAAGTGACACTCTGAGATTTATGTCTCAGTCTATTGTGAGTTTAGTCTGCCTGGGTCATTCTCTCCAAATTGATTGGAATTGAGTGATGGAAATGAAATTGAAGCCTGCAAAGCTGAGAGGCAGACCTGCATGATTTCCCAAAGGTTGTGATTGCCTCCTCATGTTTCCCAGGAGACTTCCTGTTCCTCACATGTGACTAATTTCATTTAAACCCCTCTGAGAGCCCCCCGCCCTTAATCAGGCACCTCTCCTTGGATGTGTGGTGGCATTGCTCACAGCCAGTAGATCTCTTTCTGGTCAGTGTTTCTGTCACATTCTTGTCTGCCTTCAACAGATGTGCTGAGAAGTGATTTAATGGGAGGCAGAGATCGGGAGGATTGCAGTTCAAAGCCAGCCCAGGCACAAAGTTAGTGAGAAACCCCATCTCAATAAACAGACCAGACATGGTAGATCATGTTCAGTAATACCAGCTACATGGGAGGGATAGGAAGGAGAATCACAGTAAAAGGATGGCCCTGGGCAAAAGTATGAGACCCTATCTGAAAAATAACTAAACCAACAAAGGGCTGGGGACATGGCTCAAGTGGTAGAGCACTTGCCTAGTGAGTGTGAGGCCCTGAGTTCAAACCCTAGTACAACCAAAAAAAAAGGGATTGAAGACTGAAAGTCTTTAGTGGCCACCACTCTGTCCCCAAAACCATTTGCAAGGATTCAGTCATTTGTGTTCCCCACTGGTGCAGTGTCCGCCTAGCACTGGAGAACCCAGACTTGGAGTAGGCTGTCTAGCTGTGAGGAGTCTCCCCTCCACAGAAGCATTCCTGAATAAATTCTGTATGCCACCTATTGGAAATGTCCCGTATGTAAGATGACACCGAGGACTAGG